ACCTTCGTCGAATACATCTGCGACGAAGTCCTCTCTATACCGGGCCGCACAGTCGAAATGAACCTACTAGGCAGCGACATTTTCATTACCGACCGAGCCGAGAACATCAAGGCCATCCAGGCAGATCAGTTTACGGACTTCGCGAAAGGCCAGACGCCACATGATGTGTTTAGCAGTATCTTGGGGGACTCAGTGTTTACCACGGACGGGCCTTTGTGGAGGACGAGTAGGGAGCAATTGGAGCCGCACGTGTCGAGAGTGCGCCCGGATGATATTCCTACCGCTGAAGTCCACATGCAGAAGCTTTTGAGATTGATCGAGAACTCACCAGAAAGGGTGGATGTGTACGACATGGTCGACAGGTTCCAACTCGACCTAGTCTCCCAAGTCTTTCTCGGCGAATCCACAAACTCCCTCTCCGCAGACGAGCAGCCCTTTCGCAAAGCCATGGAAGAACTCCTTACGTTCAATACGAATCGTCTCCTTTTCGGACGTCTCGCAAACCTCTTTCCCGACTGGCTCTTTGCACCAAGAGCATACCGCGATCTAACACACTACATCGACGATCTGATCGAAAAGACACTAGCCCTCCCAGTCAACAACCAAACCGACGTGAAAACAGAAAAGGAGTTCAACTTAGTCGAAGATCTTGTCTCTACGCATCCAAACGATCGTTATTTCATCCGCGGTCAGCTCATTGCCGTCCTGATGGCATCCAAAGACCCTGGTGCTATTTTGACGACTTGGACGATATACCACCTCGCCCGCGACCCAGTGTTGTGGAAGAAACTACAGAGAGAGGTGGAAGAGCAGTAAGTGCATCATCTGTTTCCACGGCAGCATGAAAGACAGGGACATACCACTAACCGACCTCGTTTCCACAGCATCGGTCTGGACACCCTTCCCACGACCTCCCAACTCCGCAAACTCGACCTCCTCGCCAACACCGTCAAAGAATCGATGCGCATGTACCACCCCCTCGGTCTCAATATCCGCGAAGCCCGCACTGACGCCATCCTACCCGTCGGCGGCGGTCTAGAAGGCAAAGAACCTATTTCCGTTGCGAAAGGCCAGATCATCGTATACTCAGTCGCAGGCCTACAACGCAACCCCACTTTATACGGCCCCACGGCACACATCTGGGACCCATCGCGCTGGGAGTCCTGGTCACCTAAATATGGAACTTACTTGCCCTTTAGCATTGGCCCGAGACAGTGTCCTGGGAGAGTGTTCGGCAGGTTTCAGATTCAGTATGTGCTCGTTCGGTTGCTGCAGGAGTTCGAGGGGATAGAGTGGTGTGGTCTTGGTGGTGGGAAGAATGGATCAGAGGAGATGAAGATCAAGGTTGAGCTTAACCTTAAGTGTGCAGAACCCGTGATATGTAGATTTGTGCCGAGAAAGAAGGGCGTTGTCGGATAGTGGTGATGCATCGGAGGCCAGTGGTATGCCGACACTCACCACTGGTAGCCAACATTCGGCTTGCACAGCGTTGCCCTCGCTGAACGACTGCACGTCAGATGAGGTGCTTATCTAGCTCCTGTATATAGAAGGCGCACTTTGCTGGACCCCAGATCTACCGCCGCTGACATTTTGTTACGCCAAAACACCTTGTGCTGTACATACGACCATGCGCAAAGCAGATGATCTCTGTTGGGCGAATTGAAGTCACAGCCCGCTCTAATAACAGAGGTGGAGGACAGGGCCATGTTCCAATGACCAATGACCGAGCTGACTCCGCCCCACAGCGCTTGCTTACGGCTGCGCCCCATAGGATGTTACCAGTCCGCACATCGCCTTGGTATCACCAGTTGGTGCGCAAGGCGACTCCGTCTCTTATGCGCTGACGACTTTCAGATAAGACAACATGCTACCGCCTCGGCGAACTATCACCATCAATCAATTCCACCCGCGTATGGGGGCCAAAAGGTACACTTCGACAGCACCACTACTAGCACTCCAAAGTCATCTCAACGATATCCAGGCGGAGGAAAAAGGTGAAGTTCTCTAACGCACGCTGTTGCAGTAGAAAGAAATGGTACGATTCGAAGCGTTCAGATTCCGCCCTTCGACGCTAGTCCCAAAACGAAAGGATGGCCCGCAATCCCGTCAAAGCTGGTACCCTCCCGCGCTATGATGGTGGACCCTCGCCATAACTGCACTACTCTGCTGGACCTTTATTGCTGTTCTTCAATACTGTCTCCAGAGAAGCCAGACTCAAGGTGGGGTGATTTTTGCCACAACGGTGAACTCACTTCCCCTACGTCGCTCATTCTGGTACCTCTATCTGCCAACGATCATTGCTGTAACTTTCAGCATCCTCATCATTTGGATCGACCACGATGCTAAGCGTTATGAGCCCTATCGGCACATGGCACAGCCATGTGGAGCGTCAGCGGCAAATTCCATTCTATTGCACTATCCTTTTGACTACATCCCGATTGTACCTATAATAGCAGCTAAAAGGAGGTGAGTCCTACACCATACTTCATAAAGAGCTCAAAAGTGCTGACGAAGTCTGTATAGGCATTGGCTTGTGTTCTGGGCCTCATTGGCAACCGTTCCTACTACATTCGGCGTTGTACCATTACAAGCAGGTATATTCTCGACACGGCCGATCACCAGGGATTTCGTGCAAAATTTCGACACATCGGATGATTTCATACACTCTTCAATGCAAGAGCAGGCTGTGACCTTGAGCTATGCGCAATCCGTATATGGCATCTTGGAGTTGAACGAAACAATGCCAGCCTTTACCGCTCGCAATTATACCCTACGACCTTTCACTACTCAAGGTCTCATACCCAGTACTGGAGACTCCTGGACAGCACGTACTATCATGTACAGTATGAATCTTGAATGCGGAAAGGCGCAAAAAGCAGGAGTAAGAAACGAAACCTCGTCAGAAGAGGGGCTTGTGCAGGTTGGACCAGGGACTAACGTTCTACGCAACATAACATGGTCTTTTTCAAGCGAAGCCGGATTCAATAATTCTGTTGGCTGTTACGTGTCTTCGCCACAACAAAACGGCGCCGTAGTTGGAGACATCATAGGCCGGCAGCAGTCGATTCGATTCAAGAAGTTCTCTGCATCGTATATGGGCTATTTCTCTCCAGTTCATGCAGCATCTTCGGTCGGAATCGAATCTCTTCAAGACCAGCGGTGGTGTCGATTTCGGGGAAACGGGACCTTCTTTGCGGCATTCACCCAAAACAAAGAAAGAAAGCAGGATCCGCCCAGCAACATTACGGACATATTTTGTAAGCCAGTTTACTATGAGCAGGATGTTGAGGCAAGCGTGGATGCGACAACTGGAAAACCGCAAAACATTAGTGTTTCCAGTACAAGGCGCAAGATTTCCGCAGAGGTATTTAACGCTACCGTCTTCGAGGAAACACTCGCCTCTGGTACTCGCCTGCTTCAGACAAGACAAGACGATTTGCCTATGAGCACCTTGCCTCATTACCTCGAAAACTTGTACAATACAGACCTGACACCATCTACAGCTTCGCCTATGATGACAACCGTTATGTCCGTATCAAAAGATCGTTTGCCAGAGCTACTGGACTCGGAAAAGTTAGCAAGCGCATATGAGATTGTGTATCAACTTTTCTTCGCTCGTGCGATGGCTGACATCCTCAACCCCAATGTTTCTACACCAACTAGTACGAAATCGCCAGGGTCGTTCCGGACGCAAATGGAAGCAGTGGTGCTTGAACCCATCTTCACGTACATGGTTGAGGGGTTTCTTGCCGTAATCTCAATGGCAGCGATAGCTCTAATTTGTATTGGGCACGTGGGGCAGAAAAAAAGAGCACTAGTTGACGACCCTGGTAAGCATGACACCTATCGTATTCATAGCCTCTTACTCATGTTCAGCTTCTTTGGCTTCTATCATGTCGATGATGGCAGACAATGCCGATCTACTTGCCAGATTTGGAGATCTAGATTGTGCGTCAACGCAATATTTCAATCAAAAGCTCCATGCAAGCGGATTCAAACTCGAAAAAGATCATGGGTCAGTACTCTGAGCATCTCACAGCGTACACAACTCACACATTGCAGCATAAGAAATGTAGCTCTCAGCTCGAAGCTGCAACAGCCCTCACTCAGAACCAACGAACCACGATTATCAAAGCCCATGAGACCTATGGAATTCCGTTTGGTTACTGGAGTTCCTTTCATCAGCCTTTTTGTGGCTTTAGTGATAGCCCTTACCGTTCTCTTCACTCGATCTCGGCCATACGGTAAATGGTGTCGCGCAATCCATAACATACAATGACCCTGACTTGATTGAATGCAATCGTTCTTACTGATACCATCTAGGGCTATCGCTGCCGTCGAATGATCGCATCGTTCAGAACATCGTTACCCAGTATCTTCCCACAGCTATTGCTACTCTCATCGAACCGCTTTGGATTATGATCAACAGACTCTTTTGTGTTTTACAGCCTATAGAGCAAATGCGTGGCCCGAGAGCAGCTGCGTCCCGGAGCATAACTCTCAGTTATGGTTCTCTCCCTCCCCAACTTACACTCTTCAAAGCAGCTCGAGCTGGTCATTACCTATTAGCAGCAGTCTGTGCAATGAGTCTATTAGCAAACCTATTAGCAACTGCATTCGCGGGTCTTTTCTTCAGCGCAACACTGTCACTCCCCCAGTCAGCATCATTTTCGCCACCTTTCGAGGCAAGATTTATACACATCAACGGCTCGTCAGGTCCACCAATTATGGAAAATCCGTTTTTGGCCTCAGCTAGCTGGAGGCCCGAGATGTCAGGTGCTTACCAGGGGTCCACGGGGGAGAGCCATTTCTTGGTGGCAGAGTCTAACTTGACACGTCATACTCCCTTACCAGCCTGGACAGATAAGAAAGCTACCTACGCTTCTTTCAAAGACCGCGAAACAGTCAGTCTATCCACAGAGAGTTATTATCAAGCTCGTACCAAATGTTTTGCTGCAGAACCAAGATGCAAACCTCTCACATTCGACCAAGACTATCATATGCATCTATGGACCGATAAATTTTTCGACTGGAAACAAGTTCTCAATGTCACAGTAACATCTACAAGCGGAAGGCGAACCACATGCCATGGTACGGATGGCAATCTGTTCGCCACAAACTACGGATCAACCAGTCGTTGGCATGCTCAGTATAATGCAACCCTCTGTCGTGACGGCAAAGTCGGAGCAGAAATAGCGACATCTCTCCAGGCCGACCTTGACGCCACCGGAGAAGAAAAGGCAATATGCAGGTCTGCAGTCGCAGTTGGATGGATTCGGGCTACGCATCAATACTGTGATGGACCACTTGGTATGGGCGATTTTCGGCGAAGACAAATCCTGACAGACCCGGACGCGCATCCAGTGACTTCTTATCCGGGATTTGAGGATGCTGCCAGCAACAACACTTTCCTCATGTTGTGCCAGCCAGAGATCCAAGTCGGTGATGCCACCGTAATCGTCGACAAAACGGGCGTTTTGACACAGCCAGCAAGAGATCTCGCACCTGATCAGGATCAAAGCTCTCAAGCACTTGACAAATACTTCTCGAACGGCGCTGCCGAACTCATGTCACAATCGAGCTTATTCATCTTTCGAACTCTGCAGCCCTTGTGGCATAACGACACCTTCGCCAGCGAGTTCATCCACTACTTCATGAATCGAGCTGGAGGATCGCTACGGCTGACGGACCCAAACATGCCACTACCCACATTCGCAGACGTCGAGACGCCAATGAACCAAGCATACTCACGACTCTTTGCCATTTGGCTCGGTGTGAACAGGGAGCTTCTTTTCGTGCCGGCAAACAACACAACAACGCCACAGGTCTCTGGCATCGTCATAACACCTGAAGAACGCCTGCTATTTGTCACTCCCCTATTCATCATCTCGGAGTGTATCCTCAGCATCTACATTGTCGTCTCTCTCATCGTCTACTTGCGCCGTCCAGGTCGCTATCTCGCGCGCATGCCTACCAGTCTCGCTGCGGTTATTGCACTCTTTGCTTCAAGCGCTGCTGTCAAGGATCTACGCGGTACAGCTTACATGACGAACAAAGAGCGCGAGAAGTATCTTGAAGAGTTGGGCTGCAGGTACGGGTACGGCAGCTATGTAGGCGGTGAGGACAGTGTTGTACATGTAGGTATCGAGAAGATGCCCTTTGTGCAGTACCTGAAGGAAGTCAGCTTTGTGGGAAGTATGGCTGGGAAAGGTGTAAAGAGAAGGGGCGATTCTGCTGCGTCGTCGGTGGCAAATTCGAGTTACGTGAATGTTCCATTGGATGATTCGGATACAGACGGGAGCCGCAGAAGTGTTTCTCCTCTCTCCAACAGCAGAGTATAACTCTCAAGGGTACAGCTAGAAGTCGAAAGAGCTGTTGATTTGTCTTCGGTTAGAATCTGCTTGTTACTGCCGCATTACAGCGAATATAAGGTGTTTGGGAAATACACCCGCATTTAGATTATTATATACTTGACCGCGTTTTGGTGCCCTGCTCTGCATCAACATTCCACCGTAACACTGCCTGCTGTGTACTCTGATCAGGCACAGCTACTCAGAGCTAGCTGCTAAGCGTTTGTTGATAGAGACCATTGCCCTCGTGGAGTACTTGACAGTCGCCAATGGTCCATTGAGTAGCTGTAGTGTACATGGCCGCCAATATACGGTGAGCTTGTTTGTGATGAGTATATAATACCCAGACTCGCTTTATCTTGCACATACGACCATAGGATCATGAAAATTAGGCTTCCCGTCCGCTCAGCCATATACAAGCATGATACCGGCGGATTAGTAGTTAGGTGGGTGACCACTAGCGAATCCCCGCTGTTGTATGTTTTTGGGCTTCTTTTTGCCATTTTTTTGGTGGTGGAGACGGAAGGTGGGCGGTGTGGGTCAGCGCCTCGGCTATCCATACTTATCTGTCTAGGGCGTCGGTGCTGTAGATCATTGCAGCTTAAGGTAATCTTTTTGGGGTGGAACGCGAACACCTTAATGCTGTTTGAACCAAGACTGCAAACTGTGACAGGATGAGTGACATAGCGGGGCGGCTGGGGTTGCAGCCAAGGGAGCCTGGGAAGATCGCGGGCGTTTAGATACTGAGGATGATTAAGTAGAACATTGAGGTGGAAACCAGGAAAGAAAATACACGTATCCTTGATCTCGATCATGTCCAATGATGTGATTTGGTATCTTTCTATGCCCCTAGCCAGACGACGCCGCGTGAGAGAAGATTAGGTCGCTACAGACCGCGAGAACCATGCTTTCTAGCCATGTAAGCATCGAGATTCGATAAACGCCGTTGATACACCAGAAGTAATAACACCACCTACGCCATCGTATCGTAACCCGATATACACCATATCCTACCTCGCATAGCCACCTTTCTTAGTCATCACCAATCCTCTTCTTCGCAGCCTGCATCTTGCCGAGGATAGTCTTGCTCTTCGCCTTGCCCTCGACTTGTTCCGCTCTACTCAAACCAGCGTAGAATGTTCGCACCTTCTCGTGTGCAATAACCTTCCTGGGATCGAATCGCAAAATCTGCAGACCGGCCATGCTCGTGGCACGGGAGAGCGCGACATATGCTTGGCCCTTTTCGAAAACGCGACCGAGATCGACGCGCACTCGCTCCAGCGTCTGACCTTGCGCCTTATGGATGGAGAGCGCCCATGCAAGGATGAGTGGGATTTGGGAACGCGAGGCTTGTACCTCGCCGTTTGGCAGCTCGATCTTCCAGTCTTCGCGCTTGCATAGCAGATCGCGCGTGGTGCCGTCTGCAATGGCGAATCGGACGACAGGATATACCTGGTTGCTGTTTACACCGAGCGAGCTCTTCATCATCTCAGTCTTGATGGCGGCCTCGGAGGGTCCACCTTCGAGGAAGGCCTCCTCGTCCTCCTTATAGACGTTGAACATCTGCTCGGTCATGAATCCCGTAATCTTGCCCAGCGAACCGTTCACTAGTGTGTCGTCCATGTTCTTGACCAACATGACCTGAGCGCCTTTCTTGAGGTGTATTTGCGCTGGTACCATGCAGCTCTGTAGTAGTCTGTCGCGCTGCTCCTTGTTCGTGATCGTACCTCCGTCGCGAGCTTCAAACAAGAAGACATTGCCGTGAAGTTGTTGCATACGCGTAGTGTTTGCCCGGTCGACCTCCTGGCGCGTGGGAAAAAGTTCTGTGGCTTCGACGCTCTCATCTCCCTTTGGTAGTGGTCGTTCCAATTGCTTAAATTTCTGGATTGAGTCTTGAGTCAGGCGGCCCTCTCGCATCTCGTTGAGCATGTTCGCAAAGACTGGGTCTTTTTGACGGAAGACGTGGTGTAGACCAATGGTGTGCTCGATGCTTGTAGTCCAGGTGCCTGCATCGAAGGCGAATTTGGCTTGCCGTCCAGATTCTGGTACTGGGGGTAATTGGAAGAAGTCGCCGGTGATGACAAGCTGAATACCGCCAAACGGCCTGCCGTTGTTGCGAATCGTCCGCGCAATGGACTCAAGTTTGTCGAATAAATCGCCGTCCACCATCGACACCTCATCCATGATCAGTACTTTGGTACGCATCCACCGCTGCTTGGCTTTCTGGTTCCGTCTGATTTTCTTGACCAAGTCCTCTACAGGCTCTTTGCCAAGGCCGATGCCTGCAAAACTGTGTAGGGTGACACCGCCGATGTTGCATGCTGCTAGACCTGTTGACGCTGTCACTGCCACGCGATCTGGCTCGCGGGCGTATTTCCGTCGTAGCGCAGCGATAATCTCACGGAGTAAGACTGATTTACCAGTACCTGTCGTTGTCAGCATGGGCGTTTACAAACAATCCACTACACATACCAGCAGATCCAGTGAAGAAGACACTCTTCTTGTACTCCGTCACCAGGTTCAGCACATTCTGTTGTTCTTCACTGAGGAAGATCTTGTGGATGGTGTTCTTCTTCTTTTTCTTAATGACCTCCTTCATGTCCTCATCTGTGCCAAGGTTCGCCTTCGCTTGAGCTTTGTTGGTCTCCCTAAAAGTCTTCTGCTGCTGCTTCAGCGCGCTCTGGGTCGTGTTCCAAGGGTATTGTGATTTCGACTCCTTCACTGGTGTTGACACTGCCTTGTCGGCCTCCTTGACCACTCTTTTCCTAGGTGGCGCAATCTCCTCTTCCTCCTCCTCTTCCTGTATCGATTGCTGCTTCTGGGCCTGTGTCCACGGTAGAGTACGACGCTTTGTCTTCGGCGGCTCGGGCTTCTGCGGTGTCTTGTAGTGCGATAGGGGCGAAGAAGACCACGGTATTGGCTGGCTACTAGGCTGCTCTGGCTTGAGATCCGCAGTGTGCGCTCTCGAGTTGTACCCCGAATCGGCTGAGCCTCCCGAACCAACGCGAGGTAACGTAGGATATGTGACAGTGCCCTTTGTCGCTGGGTCTTCAACATCGAGATCTATGTCGCTATCGAAGTCGTCCTCATCAAACAAAGCCTGGGCTAGGACGCCGGGGTTGTTGCGCGAAGATGTGTGGAAAGCAGCCGGCAGATCGTTCTCCTTCTCGTCAATCTCAGCAATGTTGAGTGAGGGGTAGTCAAAGTTATCCTCTTGCGAGTTCAGCGACTTGACCAGCCCATTCGACGTCCGCTTGGTCCCTTGTGTAGTTGCTCCAATGGCCGCTTTCATCTCGTTTCCTACAGGACGCGTCGAGGATGTCTTTGGCCCGGTGCGATTGAAGGCGTTCCCGAGCGAAGCCTGCTTGTAGGCGTTGTTCGGGGGTGATGTAGACGCGATGGCATTGTGGTTCTGCACCGCTGACTTGAACATGGTGGTCGTCGTGTGCGGGCGAGTGGAGAGGTAGCCAAAGTAGTGGCGGGGTGTGGTTGTGGGCGAAGCGGTCGGCGGCTGCAGGTGTGATGTCGAGAAACGCGTACGCGGAAGGTGCGTGAGGGACCGTGTTGGAGGCGAATACGTCCGAGCGGGATGTGGGATGCAAAAGAGCGGCGACCGTTTCGGATTGTACGGTTTAAGCGACGCACCTCTCTTCCCGAGGGTGGCAAGCATACAGCAAACAAAGAGAGCGCCGACAAAAGAAAGGATTACCGAGATGATGTCGAGTGTGTGCATGCCATCCGGCGCGGTGGGGTGTGAATGTTAGCATCAATTAGCGGACGGGCCCACAAAACGCGACACGACATCTCAATGCGGATGCGCTAGAACAGTACGTCACGTGCTGTCATCACAACGGTGTTTCTGCGGTGTATCTGAAAGCTTGATGGAACCTGCAGGATCCCAGGCACCTTGACGCAGGTACAGAATTTGACTGCCTCTAGGCGGCTCTATGACGTACTGGTGCAGACCTCACTTTGGCGAGAATATGTCTTGTATGCTTGTGGCTTCAGTGCCTCGTACCATTCTATTACGTCTCCATCACCATCAGTACTACCATCTAGTCCACAGTATAGTATACTATCCAAAGTCATACCGCGACGACCAGCGCGCGCCACGAGAAATCCACTTCTGGTATCATAAGAACTCGCTTTGGTATCAAGAAGAGAATTCGCTGGTATCAAGGAGAAGATTCAACGTCATAATAGATAGTGAAGGGGTAATCAGAGCCGAGGCCTGAAGCAACAGAAAACTAACACGAGATAGGAGATTCATTTTGAACCAAACGACCGTGAACCAGATCCCACAAGAAATGTACCAGCCATGCCATAGGACAACAACGCTTGCACCATTTTGGACAACGGAATTAATAACGACTCCCTAAGAACATAAAACCGAGTAGCTGATGAAATATGACCAGAAATCGGAGCTATCCAAAACAGCGCCCCCGTAAGCAAACAGGCGTGTTGGGACAATAGAGGGCACAGCGCTGAAGAGACAAATCTAACAAACGAGGTGCTTAGCCCTGGTATCCTCCAAAGCCATTCTGGTTGAAGGCTGCCTGAGGAGACTGTCCCCATTGAGGTTGTTGGGGAGCGCCACGGCCGTAGCCGCCAGCGCTGCCTGGCTGCTGCATCTGTTGCTGGTAAGGCATGCCAGGGTTGCCAAAGGCTTGCTGCTGCTGCGCGAAGGGTTGTCCGCCGGGGCTGGGTCCTGCCCGCGCATTAGATTGCTTGTTTCGATACTGCAGCTTCCTCCGGTGCCGCTCACCTGAGGGTGACATGGGACCACCTTGTGGCCCACCACCATACTGAGGAAAGTACGCGCTTGGCGTCTGAGGATAAGCTGAGTTGGGCCCGCCCGCAGGCGAGTAACCCTCAAACTGGCCAGTCGGAGGACGGTCTTTGCCCCACTAGATTAAAAATGTGAGCTAAGAAATAACAAAAGAGAACGACTCAACCTACGCTGCACTTCAGAGGACGGCCGTTGACGTTGTAGCCGTTGAGCTGGCAAATGGCCATTGCCGCATTCTCATGAGTGTCCATCTTAATGAAGGCAAATCCGCGGTCAGACTGGAAGCGGGTTTCGGTGACATAACCAAAGTTCTGGAAAA